CTGAGAGATGCATGACTGATCATATGGGTATCAACATGGAAGGACTGTTGGGTGGAGAACTGAAGTTTTGTTCAACAACTGAGACATTTTTTCCATGAATAACTTGGTCAAGAAATGAATTATTTGAGATGGAAGACATTCAAGAACTGAGGGTAGCAGCACTGCCTAACTTTAAACAAATGGTATAACCACTTTAGAATATAATTTGGCAGATATTTGGAAAGTTAAATAATCCTGGAGGAAAAAAAGGACAGTGGGTAAAAACTAAGGAGAGCTGAATAAAATATGGATTTTAGTTAATAATAATGTAACAGTTTTGGTTTATTAATTGTAACAAATGTATCATAGAAACTTTAGATGTTAATATTATGGAAAGTTGGGTATGGGGTATATAGGAACCCTCTATTCTATGTTATGAATGGAATGTTTGCCCCTCCCCCTTATTCATATGTTGAAACCTAATGTGAGGTTTTAGGAGGTGGGGCTTTTGGAAGGTGATTAGGTCATGAGAGTATAACACTACTGAATGGCATTAGTGCCCTTATAAAAGAGACTCTAGAAAGTTCTCTCCCCTCTTCCACACTGTGAGGACATGTGAGTGTATAGTGAGAAGACTGCCAACTCTGAACAAGAATGTTGTCCTTTTTCAGCCATTGAATCTGCTGGTGCCTTGATCTTAGACTTCTCAGTCTCTACAAGCAGAACCATGAGAACTAAATGTGCTGTTTAAGCCACTTGGGTTATGGAATTTTTGATATAGCTACTTGAACAGACTAAGACACTATATTCACAATTTTTCAGTAAATCAAAAATTATTCTAAAAAATAAAATTTGTATTAAAAAGGAGCTAGAAAAGGAGCTAAAATGTTAAATGTATACTTGCTATATAATCCAGCATCTCCATGTCTAGTTATTTACCCAAGAAAAAAGGAAATATATGTATATACAAAGAGGAATACATGAATGTTCATAGTAGCTTATCTGTGCAAGCCAAAATTAATTTTAGAATTAAATAAAGAATAATAAACATTTATTTGAGCAAAAAAAACTATAGTCAGGGAGACACAGATTCAGACAGCAACTTAAATTGTGCTCCACCTAGACAAAGGGGCGGTTGCCTTTTGTAGTGAAAGTTCCCACCCAGGTTCTCAATTAGGTCCTTTTAATGTAAATGAGGTATCCAAATTGTGCATTTCTGATTGGATGGAGCAGGTCTCAGTCCTTGATAAAAGACAAAACCAGGGCTTCCCTTATAATATTTGACTCAGATAGCTTAAGTGAGCAGGGCTTAGTGTGGGAAACTGAGAATTCAATCTGAGGTTCTTATTGATATACAGAGAAAGTGAGAAACCCTTGTCAGCAAATGGCCACTAGGCTCTTATTATTTATAAAAATGGAGCCCTTGGTTGACCATGAGGAAGTCCATTTCAGCAGATGCATTCATTCTTGTGGTTCATAATAAATGTATCTTTCTTCTCACATTCATAATAACCCCCAAACTGGGAAAAAGCCAAATGACCATTAACAAGTGAATGGATAACCAAGCTGTCTATATCTATATATTGAAATACTACTCAGCAATATAAAAGAATGAACTATTGATACATATACCAAGATAGACGAATCTTAAAATAATTGTTAAGTGAAATAATGTGGACAAAAAAAGCATACAATGTGTATAATTTTATTTATATAAGTCTCTAGGAAATACAAATTGATTTATAGTGACAGAAAGATCAGTGTTATTTTGAAAGAAAGGCAGAAGGGAAGGGTTTCAAAAGGGCATCAGGAAACTTGTATGTGAGTGATATGTTCATTATCTTGATTATTGTGATAGTTTCACAGGTGTATACAGATATCAATCAGCATTTACAGACTGTACACTTTAAATTGTGTGCTGTTTAACATATGTCATTATACCCCAATAAAGCTGTTTATTTTGACAAATTTAGTTATTCATGTACAAGAATAAGTAGATAATTATCTTAGGCTCATATAACTACTACCTTTGATCAGGAAACATAACTCTGAGCTTTTTGGTAGTGTAAATTTGCTACTATGTACCATTGTACCTACCACTTGCGTTTTGGGTACCAGTTTCATTCTCTGAAAAATGAAGATGGCCCCTAAAGTCTTTTACAGACAGATACATTGAGAATAATTCTCACTATGTATCTTCTAAAAATGGAGACAACCAAAATGTTCTTCAATAGAGAATTGAATAAAGAAAAAGTGGTGCATAAATACTATGGAATATCACTCAGCCATTAGAAAAGATGAAATACTGCCATTTGCTACAACATGGATGGACTTTGAGAATATTGTGCTAAGCGAAATAAGTCAGTCAGAAAAAGCTAAGAACCATATGATTTCACTCATATGTGGGCTATAAAACTGAAACTCATAGACATAGGTGGTGGGAAGTAAAGGGTAAAGGCGGCTAAATATATGGTGACAGTAGATGATTTGACTTTGAGTGGTGGGCACACAATGTAATATACAGATGATGTATCATAGAAATATACATTTGAAACATATATGATCCTATTAACCAATGTCACACCAATAAATTTAATAAAATAGAAAAGAAATTCAGTTGCATTAATTTCATAAACCTTAACATGAAATTAGCTAATAAAGTGTTGCTAATTAGGAAACAAAGTTTAAATGGGGATTAATAGTTAAGAACTATTTGTAAGTACTATATTGATTCTTTTTTTCTGAACATCTGTTTTGTGCCAAGCAATAAATTAGAAGTTTTTTCAAACAGTTTTATTGAAATATAATTTACATTCCATGCAATTCATCCATTTAAAATGTACGATTCTCTGCTTTTTAGTATATTCACAGATATGTACAACCATCACAACAGTCAATTTTGTAACATTTTCATTACTGAAAAAAAGCCCCAGGCTATTTAATGGGTATGGGATTTCTTTTTGAGGTGATGAAAATTATCTTGTAGTAGATAGTAGTGGTGGTTGCACAACATTGTGAATGTATTAAATGTCACTAAACTGTAGGCTTTTAAAGCGTGCATCTTATGCTATATTGTATCCACCACACAAAAAATAAAAATATACACTTTAAGTTTCTACCCACATCCCCCCATTTCACTGGCCCCAAGAAACCACTAATATACTTTCTGTATCTAGATATTTGCCTATTTTGGACATTTCATATAATATGTGATCTTTCATTACTGGCTTTTTTCACTGACAATGTATTCAAGGTTCATCCATGTCATAGTCTGTATTAGTGCTTCATTCATTCTTCTATGGCCAAATAATATTCCATTGTATAAATATAGCACATTTTATGTATCAGTTCATCAGTTGATGGATATTTAGGCTATTTCCACCTTCTATCTATTATGAATAATGTTTCTATGAACATTTGTGTACAAGTTTTTGTGGGAGTATATGTTTTGATTACTTTTACTAATATATTTAGGAGGGGAATTGTTTTTTGGTTTTTTTGTTTTTTTTTTAAATATATCTTTATTGATTTCAGAGAGAGGAAAGGAGAGGGAGAGAGAGAGATAGAAAAATCAATGATGAGAGAGTCACTGATCGAGCCCACAACCAGGGCATGTGCCCTGACCGGGAATTGAACCCCAATCGCCTGGATCCTAGGTTGAAGCTCAACCACCGAGCCAGGCCTGGCCGGGCAGGAGGAGAATTGTTAATAACTCTATGTTTAACCATTTGAAGAACTGCCAGATTGCAATGGGGGATCAAACCTGCAACCTGGGTATGTGCATTGAGCAGGAATAAAACCCACCACCTTTTGGTGCATAGGATGATGCTATAACCAACTGAGCCACACCAGCCAGGGCCAGATTGTTATCCAAAGTGGCTGCATAAGTTTGCTCTCCCACCAGTAGATTATGAGGGTATCAATTTCTCCACTTGTTATAATCCTGGTGAGTATGAAGTGTTGTCACAGTGTATGATTTGCATTTCCTTGATGACTAATTTTATTAGGCACCTTTTTACGTGCTTTCTTCCTAGAAACATGCTCACATAGTCAATATTTTGCATAGGCTCTCAGGGGTTCATCAACCCTCAATATTATGATCCCTTAGAATGGAATTATTGGATGGAAACATGAATAGAAACTGTCATGGTAGGTTTTATAAATTATATTTAACAATAGTAAATAATATAAAGTATACTTGCTCCTTTTATACTGCTATGTATTTGATAAAGAAGTGAAATAGTACACTTTTACACTAGTTGTACTGAAGTATTAGATTGGTTTCCACTACATGACTCAATGGGAGTGGAGGGAGAAGGGTCTCACTTCTTATTGGAATGAGAAATGTTCATTATATGTCACCATCTCTGAAATCAAAGGGCCACCCCACAGACTGAGGTAGAAAAATTGTTTATCCCTTCTTTGTACAAATGAGACCATATTATATAGAATTAGAAAAGCAATAAAACAGATGTCTTTATACCAGGGATGTATCTGTGTAATAGGAGAGTGAAAAGAAGTCCAGGGAGGCACTAATCTGAAAGATCAGTCAATTTTAGTATGAGCAGTTGGTACTGGAAAAAATAAACACTATTCAACAAGAGTCAACAGTTATTTTGATGAGTACTAGCTTACTACTGCCACTGTAGCTTTACACCTATGACATATGAAAGTTGTCTGTTCTTAGGGAGAAAATGAACCTTTGCTAAGTGGTCTGAAGAGTCACCTACAAAGTTTGGATTTTTGCTGTTAGTGAAAGTTGTAACAGCCACCTAAGCTTTGGAAACTCAGAGGAATTTGCTTAGCTCAGCTACTTAGAACATGAGAAAACCTACTTATATTAGAGGCTTACACATTTTTATTTCTTAAGGCAGCCAGGCTCACTCTCTCCATCAGGCCAGCTTTTAGAAAATGAAATGATTTGGAATTGCAATTAAAATCCCTGGCAGAAATTATTCTAAGATGTTCCATTGCTCTACTGCAAAGACAGCAAAGAAAAAATATCAATTTAAGTTCTGTACCTTATTTCACCTTCTCTAATGTGACCAGCCAGTTCTTCAATAAATTTCTCCCCTTTCATCCAGTAGATCATTGGTCCAGACTCTCCACTAAATCCAAAGAATGCTTTGCAAGGAATGTTCAGAGGTTTACCTGAAAATGACAGAGAAAAATAAATGAGATGGGGGAAGATGGCGGTAGTGTGACAAGGAGTAGAGTGCCCTTACTCCCAGCCACGGATTGGATTTATCTACAAAATACTACATAACCAGCTTGGAAAAAACAAAGGAATATACCTAAGTGGAAATATGGCAAGTAGGGAGCATTGAAGAAACATCATTGAGTCTGGTAAGGGGGGGCTCATAGAAAGAGGGAGTCCCCCCTGAAACCTGTGCTGGGCTCTGAGGCCCAAGGGGTAGAGGCTTCAAAGCTCCCTCCCCTTGGGAGTGTGGACTGGCATCCAAAAGCTGGGATCTCAAACCCCAAGCGGAGAAGGTAAGGAGAGCCCTGCGCAGAGGACAGAGGGACACAGAGGAACAGAGTGCCAGCGAGAAGGGGACTGCACCTTCCTAATGAAACAAAGCTTCTCACAGCAGCCACGACAGGCATTTTTCACACCGGGTGCTCACCATAGGAAAGGCTGTCCCACAGTGTGTAGCTCCTGAATAGAAAGGGGCTGGAGGACTGCACTGAGCAGCCACATACAGGGACCCTCTGCCTTCCTGTAAGGCACTGTGTAGAACCCCAGAAAGCATTTGAACTGTGTGGTGCTGGGAAGGGGAAGAGAGCCCTCCCACCACCAGAGATGAACTGGTGCTGCCTGTGGGGCAGATTGGTTCTCCAGATGCCTGAACTCCTGGAGGGGTGAATCTGGGATTTTGACTTGCCCTGAGGTGTGCCAAGATAGCACGCAAGGAACTGCCCCAGATTTACTGAGATCAACTGTCCAGGGGAGCTGTGGGTGGCTGACTCTGTGACCCCTCCTGCTTGGAGCTGAGGTGCAGGGGCAGAGGGACCTTGCAGGCAGATTCTCTGCTTGTGTGTTGCTTTGTGCATTTTTGAGTTTTTGATTGCTGAACAGGCGTCCACTTTCCTGGCTTGCATTGGGGAGGCAGACTAGAAAAAGCTGGGATTTGTGTCTGCATTGTGGGGAGTTTGAAATTAGCACCCCCATGCAATTAGTCACCCAGATCTGGGAAAGAAGGGGTGGAGCATGCCTACCTCTCCTGCAGGCTAGGAGCACCACCCCCAATAGGAAACGGGGTGGTTCAGCTCACTGAAGCCCCAGATATTCCCTGCAGGGCACAGTCCTGATGGAGAAGGGAGAACAGATCACAGGAGGACATTACAAGAATAAGACACTCAGGAACTATTGTTTGGGAACTGGAGGAAAACTTAAAACCCCTGCTGGGGGCTAGGCAGGCAAAGTGCTCTCCAAAATGTGTGTTTTAAAAAAATTTTTACTTATTTTTATTCAAAATATCACAGATGTTCCTTTTTCTTCCCATTGCCTCATTCCACCCAGCCCCACCCCCTCCCCAGTCCCTCACCACACCATTGTCCGTGTACTTGGGTTATGCGTATATGTATATAAATTCTTTGGTTAATTTCTCCCCCTCCACCCACCTACCCCACTCTGTCCCTCTGAGATTCATCAGTCTGATCCATGCTTCCATGTCACTGAATCATTTCTATTCATCAGTTTAAGTTCTTTAGATTCCACATATAAGTGATATCATGTGATGTTTGTCCTTCTCTGCCTGGCTTATTTTGCTTAGCACAATACTCTCCAAGTCTATCCATACTGTCTCAAAGAAACTGGAATGTTTTTTAATCAAACCCATTGAGCCCAGGCTGCTGAAACTTTCCAGACAGAAAAGGCAACAGACTGAATTCAATCTGAAACTGCAGCAGGCCATTGTATGGGGAAGTAGAATTGGAGGATAGGGTAGAAACAGAGGAGTTGGCTTCAAAGCAGAGACTAACTTCCCCATAGTGAGTGCCTGACCACAAAACTCTAATTAAAGGGAGAAATATCCCGAGCTACACTACTCTTCCTTCACCCTAAAGACTCTTCAGAAGACTCTGGAGTAAGACCAGGCAACCACAAGGGAGAGGCAAAATAGGTGACAAGTGGAGGTGGTCCATGGAGAGCCTCAGATCAGCCAATTACCAAAGGACACCAGAGCCAAACCTAGAGAGCTCCTGACATTGGCTAACACACAAGTACCTCCCAGGAGACCTAAAATCAGCATACAAAACAGTGAGCCTCAGACAACATAAGCTGCCCAGATGAAACTCACTTGATTGACTTTTTTATCTCTCTCTCTTCTTGTTTCATTGACATAAGTGTTTTCTGCCTTTTTTTCTTTTTCTCCTTTCTGTCTCCCTGTCTTTTGGTTGTTTCTCTTTGTCTCTTTATTGTATTTTTATTTTTTCATTTTCAAGTAATTTCCTATTCCTATGCTCTACCATTAATTTTTTGCAAGCCCTTCTTTCTGAATCCTTGCTCTGCCCCTTTTATCTCCCAGTGGCTTCTCTATTTTTTACTTTTTATTTTAGTTTATTATTATTATTTATTTTTGATACTATTAGCAATAATATCCTTTTCTCTATTTTTTTTCTCTCTTCTTTTTTGCTTTACCACTTGTGTTCTCACTTCACTCTCCTGATTCTACTTTCACATGGGATGTTTTCATTGTGATTGTCAGTATATTTTGTAAGATACTGACTGTTTCCTGGCAGTTTGGTCATGAGTTGTCTTGCTTTGCCAGCACCTGTACAACAGCTTGCACATCATGGTTGGGGTTGACACACACAGCCAACCTGAGAGGATAGTCCTCCCAAGAATGGGTCAAAAACAATATAGACCCAATCACAATAGGAAAGCCCAAATAAATCACAAAAGGGACACCTACAAAAGGGACATGCCTAGAGCAAATAGCTCAGAAGTATAAGCAAAACATACCTCTGGGCTCCACTGGATGTACACTACAAAATCCCACCCCACAAGACTGGGAGATAGCAAATATATCTAATATACAGATACAAACACTAAGAGCCACCAAAATGGGGAGACAAAGAAACAACCCACAAACTGAAGAAAAGGAAAAAATGTCAGAAAAAGACCTTGATGAGATGGAGTTAAGCAAGTTATCAGAAATAGATTTCAGAGTAATGGTTATAAACAGGTTCAAGGAAATTAATGAGAACAACAAGACACTTCATGGAAAGGTTGAGGAACTTAGTAAAAACATGAAAAAAGAGATAAATATCATAAATAAGAATCAGGCAGAAATGAAGAATACTATATCTGATACCAAGAATATGCTGGAAGGAATTAAAAGCAGGCTCAATGAAGCAGAGGATAGAATAAGTGACTTAGAAGATAAGATGGAAAAAAAGCAATCAGAGCAGCAAAAAGAAAAAACACTTTAAAAGCATGAAGACAGTCTAAGAGAGCTTTGGGACAACATGAAGTGAAACAATATTCACATCCTAGGGATCCAGAGGGGGAGGAAATTAGTAAGGGATAGAGAACATGGTGGAAGAAATAATAACAGAAAACTTTCTTATGCTGGGGAGGGAGGAAGCCACATACATTCAGGAGGCACAGAGGCTTCCAAACAAGAGGAACCAAAGAGACCCACTCCTAGACACATCATAATTAAAATTGCAAATGTTAAAAAGAAAGAGAGAATATTAAGGGCTGCAAGAGAGAGACAGGCAGTGACCTACAAGGGAACCCTCATAAGGCTAACAGCAGATTTCTCAAGAGAAACTTTGCAGGCCAGAGGGAGTGGCATGAAGTCCTCAAAGTAATGAAAAGCAAGAACATGCAACCAAGATTGCTTTATCCAGCAAGGCTGTCATTTAAAATTGAAGGTGAAATAAAGAGCTTCCCAGACAAAAGAAGGCTAAAGGAGTTCAGTACCACTAAACCAGCACAGCAAGAAATGCTAAAAGGACTGCTTTAAGAAAAACTAAGAAAATAATACCATTTACCATTGAAAACAAAAAAGTAAGATATATAAGAATAAACTTAACCAAGGATGTAAAAGACTTGTACTGGGAAAAGCACAGGGCACTGAAAACAGAAGTAGAGGAATATATAAACAAGTGGAAGAATATACCATGTTCCTGGATTGGAACAATTAATATTATGAATGTGTCCATACTACCCAAAGCAATCTATAGATTCAAGGCAATCCCATTAAAATACCAACAGAACTAGAACATATATTCCAGCAGAGCTAGAACATATATTCCAAAAATTTATATGAAAGCAAAAAAAGACCCCGAAAAAAAAGCCACAGCCATCCTGAGAAAGAACAGTGTGGGAGGGATCACTTTATCGGATATTAAACTATACTACAAAGCCACTGTAATCAAAACAGCCTGGTATTGGTACAACACCAGGCATATAGATCAATGGAAGAGAATGGAGACCCAGAAATAGACCAATGCCATTATGGTCAGTTAATATTTGAAAAAGGAGGCAAGAGCATACAATGGAGTAAAGACAGTCTCTTCAATAAATGGTGCTGGGAAAATTGGACAGCTACATGCATAAAAATGAAACTAGACCACCAACTTACACTATAGACAAAAATAAACTCAAAATGGTAAAAGACTTAAATATAAGTCACAAAACTATAAAAATACTGGATGAAAACATAGGCAGTAAAGACATCTCATGTAGTGGACTTTTCACTGATACATCTCCTAGGGCAAGAGAAACTAAAGAAAAAATAGACAAATGGGACTACGTTAAACTAAAAAGCTTCTGCACAGCAAAAGAAATCAGCCTCAAACTATAAAGGAAACCCATGGTATGGGAGAACATATTTGCCAAGGATGTATCTGATAAAGGGCTAATTTCCAAACTGTACAAAGAACTCATGCAACTCAGCAAGAGGAAGATAAAAAATCCAATTAAAAAATGGGCAAAGGACCTGAATAGACATTTCTCCAAAGAGGACATACAGATGGCCAAGAGACATATGAACAAATGTTCAAAGTCACTAATCATCAGAAAGATGCAAATTAAAACCACAATGAGNGAGGACATACAGATGGCCAAGAGACATATGAACAAATGTTCAAAGTCACTAATCATCAGAAAGATGCAAATTAAAACCACAATGAGTTAA